CTCTGAAACCTCCTCAGTGCTCGTCCCTGGGACAGGATGCACGCTGCCGCACTTTGAGATGCAAATGTTTTACGGCACCACTTCACAGCCAGTTTAAAGTCTCTTGAACGGGCCTGAAATGGGGCTCTTTTGGTGTTTTTTAAACGCCTGGAAACCGCTCTGACAGCATCTGTGCGTCTGTCGGGGTCCCTCCGTGGCGGATACAATTCCTGTCTGTTGGAAATAACCGTAAGGATCAGGGCTTGGAGAATGTGTCTAAAGACCGCTGCTCATTCCCGCTCTTCGTTAGCCATCAGGGTCATACTTAAAAATCCTCCGGTGCCTGCAAGGATGAGGAGGGGACCATGACAGGGTTTGACACGTCAAGCTGCTGGCAGTTCCTGAATCACGATTCTCCCACTGTCGTAATTACCCTTAAACACACCCAAAAAGCAATGGTTGGGGGGGATTTTTTTAAACCAACACTTTTTTTTTTTATTGCTGTTGAAGGAAGACTCGGTGTCGGCTCGAAGGCTGCGGGCTCCAGGTTCAAGAGCCTTGCCATCCTGTGCTTTGCACATAAATATAATCAAAGGTCAGGTGCAACCAATTGAAGGCTTTTATTTGCAGCCAGGATAATTAGCGCAGCATAGAAAAAAGCCCCAGATGTGAATGAGCAATGCCCAGACCTCATCGAAAACATCTTTGCTCCGCTGCTGGGTTCAAAGGCTCATCGCACCCTGACTATGTTTTACCTGCCTCCGATGCTGCGGATGCACCAGATTCTCTCTGCTGTGCCGAAGCTCAGCTGTGGGATGAGCCGATCCCAAAATCCTGCAATCTCCATCCCTGTCGAATCACTCATTTAGGGGCTGTTTTTCATAATTTGGGGGATTTTTTTATTAAAACCTCTTGTGAGCTCGTTTGCATCCGCAGTCCAGATCCTTCATGGGACACTTGCAACGGGCTCAGCCTCTCCGGGCCAGCTCTGAAATTAATTGGAGCCCTTTTCTGCAGCAAGCTTTTTATTTCCTTTTTAATTAACGTCGATGAGCTCTTTGCCGGAGCCCGTCCAGGAGTGGATCCATCCAGAGATTGACCATTCAGCAGCTGGAGAAACGTTAGCTCCACGCGCTGCCAGGTCCTGCCTGTATTTGTTCTGCCCGAATTGCCTGACTGCCTGTCCCGCATCCTTGCCCACTGCCAGGCGAGTGGAGGAGCCTCGGGGGCGAGCGGAGTCCCCAGAATCCTCCTCCCCATCTGGGATCGCAGGAGCATCCCGGGATGCTTGTAGGGGGGTTTTCCCATCAGGAAGGCACGGGGAGATTTACAGGATTGAGGAAGGGAACGCTTTAAAGGTGAGATCGGAGGTTTTAAAACTAGACTGGAGGTTTGGGAGTTAGGCGGGTGCTGGGATTGATCCAGAGGGATTGGAGGAGAGCAGGAGCTCCATCAGGATAACACCAAGTCTGGGGGATTTGTCTCGGCCTGCTCTGGCTCTTGCCTTGCTTCGGATGCAGCTGGAAAACCCCAAACCCTTGCGCATGGCCCTAAGTTTCTGGAATTGGGTTTTATTTTACCCTGATTAAAACCAGGGGATGGGGTGACCAGCAAGCCCAAGGTGACTGGGGAAACCTGAGGTGGGGACAATCCCCTCTGGCCACCACTGGGATGTGGCACGTCCCCTTGTCCCGCCGGCTCCCATCGCCCAGCACAGCAGGATTTCGGAGCCCGGGGAGTTAATCCTGTCAGGTGACTCCAATTCTCTAGCTATTTGTTTTGCAAGGGACCATGCCCCCCACCCCCCATCACCCCGAGCTTGTCCAACGCTCCGGAGGCTTTTTAATCCCTGGTCACTCAGCGGCCAGGTAAAGGGACGATGCCAGCAAACCTGCTCCATCCCAGCATTTCCAGGTTTGCAAGGCTGCCACGCTGATTTTTAATTTGGGGGGGGGGGTTCTGGGGGGAAACTGGTGCAGCAGAAGAGTTTTTAATTGGTGTGTGGGGGTGGCTTCGTGCTGAAATGGGCTGCCTCCCCTCGAGGGAGGGGAAAGAAAAGCATTGGGAGCTTTGCCGGCTTTCTTTGAGCATCTGTCTCTTCTCCCGCAGGTCGTCGCCGCTCCTCCTGCAGCCGCTGCCGCCGGCGTTAGCCGCTTCCCCAGTCCTGCGGCAGAGAAGGGGTTAGAGCCCACGGCACCACCATGAACGAAGTGTCGGTCGTGAAGGAGGGCTGGCTGCACAAGAGAGGTGAGGGAGGTGAGCCGGGGAGCCGGCTCAGCAGCGGTGGCATCCCTCCAAGGCCGGGTCACCCCGGGGAATCCGGCGCTGCAGCTGCTGCCAGGAAAGGAGAGCTCCGGTTTCCAGTTACCAACGATTTTAACCTTTCCCCGGTGCAAATGCAGGGGGGTCTCCGCTTCCCCTCACCCCAAACCAGGGCGCGAGGCACCTTGGCACCACAGGGCATCCCGAAACGCGCCAGTGTCTTCCCCCCCTTTGGCTTTCTCCTGCTCCTGGCTCAGCTCGGCAGCTCTCCCAGCAATCAGCAATGCTACTTCACTGGCGTTCGGTCTGTGCCACAAGCAAATCCTCCAGCAGCATTGTTTTTAATTGGTTGCCGCATTGGGAAGCCAGAGGATGATCCTAACAACCCTCTGCAGACCCTCTAACCTGGTTTGCCAAGCCACCTGCAGCAAGACCCCCAGCCAGCCCTTTTATTTTTGGCTGCACACGGGGAACGTCACAGCATTGTAGCAGCTGCACGCGTGGGGTTTTATTTTTAGACCTATTGAAGGTAGCTCTTATTTTTCCTTCCCGTGCTGAGGGCGGTTTGCAAGGAGAGCAGGCGTGAAAGCCACCCATCTCCAGCCACCTTTCTCCCACCGGCAGCACAGCCAGATCCCTGTGTCCAGCAGGTTCGTGGATTCCTCCTTCTTCTGGGCAAATATAGCCAGAGAGAGGGAAGCCAGGGCCTCCCTCCGATGCTGTTTCTTTACCTGGAGCTGCCGAGGCTGCTTTGGGTCAATTTTGGAGCTGCCGGGGGAAGCATGAAGCTTTTTTTGTGCTGTGTTCCCTGAGAGCAAGCATGTTTCAGGCTAACCTGCTGCTCACACCTCTCCTAAGTTACACCAGCCAGCTGCTTTTTGCAGGAGCTTCTCTGAAGCAGCTCCTAGAAACAGCCTGAAGAAAAACATCCGCTTAATTTTCCATCTACGAGGTGTTGTTCTGCCGCTTAATTTTTCATCTCAGCAATGGGACACCCCCCCCTACGAGGGTCCCTTCCACAAAAACCCCTGCACCACCCTCGGTGCCCCCCTCTCTCTTGCAGGGGAATACATCAAA